TGAGACAGAATCTCCCTCTGTTGCCAGGACTAGAGTGCCATGGCATCAGCCTAGCTCACTGCAACCTCAAACTCCTGGGCTCAAGCTATACTCCTGCCTCAGCCTTCCAGGTAGCTGGGACTACAAGTGTGTGCCACCACACCCAGCTAACATTTCCTATTTTTAGTAGGGACAGGGTCTCACTCTTGCTCAGATTGGTCTTGAACTCCTGAGCTCAAGCGATCCTCCCATCTTGGCCTCCCAGAGTGCTAGGATTACAGGTTGAGCCACCACTCCTGGCCTTTTTGTAGCCTTAATACAAAATTAAAATAAATAAATTTAAAATATTTGAGGTAATTTATAGGTAATTTTCCCAAACTACTACAAGACAATATCAGGATAGATATATTAAGAAAGAGCTTAGGGGCCGGGTACATTGGCTCATGGATGTAATCCCAGCACTTTAGGAGGCCAAGGTGGGAGGATCACTTGAGACCAGAAGTTTGAGACCACACTGAGCAATATAGCAAGACCCCACATCTAAAATTTAAAATAATTAGCCAGGTGTGGTAGGACACGCCTGTCGTCCTAGCTGCTTGGGAAGCTGAGGTGGGAGGATTGCTTAAGTACGAGAGTTCAGGGCTGCAGTGAGCTGTGATCACACTACTTACTGCACTGTAGCCTGGGAGACAGAATGAGACCCCGGCTCTTAAACAAAAAGAAAGAGGCTTGGCTGTGCTTAGGAATAACCTTTCAAGAAATATACCTTTTTGACAGAATTTTAAACTCTGAAAATAAGTTCTTCAGAGTCAAGAAGATGTAGAAATGAAAATGATCTTAGACTATGCCTCCCAGACTTTAAGGGAAATAAAAACTGGAGAGGAAAAATCCTGCTCAAAATGATTATCCATAGACCCTGGACAAATTTATTTTTATTTTAGAAGGAGAAAGGAAAGTATTTCAAAATTAGAAGAAGCTTGAAAGAATTTGTGAACAAAATGCTATAGTTTTAAGAATAGTTACAGGAAGCAAATAGGTGAGAGTGAATGATACTTAAGATGTAAATATATTTGAGCATTTACAGGACAAATTTAAGAGCAAAGTTAAAATCGTCAGACAAAGTCTATTGGTAAATCAGGAATCATTGTTGAGAACTTCAAAATATAAATAATTTTATATATGATAAACTGATATAAAATACTGGACTCTAGGTTAATGTCAAAGTTATATTTTTATATAGTAGAAGGGAATTTAAATTTTATGTAGTTAATGGTAGAAAATAACAGTTATTAAATAGATGCTGATATATTTGAAAAATAAGTAGAGCAGATGAGGTAATTAAAAGGAAATTTAAAGTTCCTACAAAAACCATGTAGATGAAAAAAGAGTTTCAATGTCCATTACAAATTTTTTTCTGAAGTAGAAAATAATGGTTTATTAGATTAAATTTAAAAACTGAAGAGAAAGATCACTGATTTGATTTAAAATCCAAGTATCTGTTTCTTGTGGAAGTTCTTAAAACTAAAGGACATGGACTTAAATGTACTGAAACTTGGGGAGTCGTCTTCTGTCAGGCCTGTGGGACTAACACTACCAGTTTTTCCATGGATTTCATACCAAGAAGTATCAAGAGAAACAGTTTCTGTATAATGCTTCATGGTACATTAAACGGTACAAAATTATCACTACTAAATTTATTCACATGTTCCAAATAACATAGCATCAAACTATATAAAAGGAAAACTGGCAGAAATGTAAAAATAAATTATGCTTGTAACAAGATATAACAGATGAAGTTATGTATTCTTAGCTGTAGAATTGCTGGGTCCAAGGGTATGCTCATTTAAATTTTTTGTAGACGTTAACTTCCTGTCCCATTTATATTCTCATCAGCAGTTTATTAAAGTGCCTATTTTCCTGTGTTGTGGTAGTCGATGTGTATTATCAAACTTTTTCATCTTTGCCAATCTGAGAATTGAAAATGGTGTGTTGTTTTGATTTGCTTCCTGAATCATACTAAGGTAGAACATTGATTGTGTTTGAATAGGCTTTTAAGAGACAGTCTAGGGAATGCATTTTCTCGAGTCTACACAGAAAGTAATGACTTAACGTTTGTTTTATCTTCCTTCAGAAGAGTAATATGTATAAGCTGAATTTTAAGTGATGTTCACTTTCCATATAGATTGAAGCTTGTAGATTATATAGCAAGTTCTCTGCCCGGCCAACCAGCATAGAAGCTATTCCTTCTGTTATTGAAAAGGTACAGTATTTAATAGCAAGCTTTCCAAGTCAAGTGGTTTTTCTCAGTTGCTTATACTTATGTTATCTTTATTCTCAATAGATGAGTGACAATTAGGAATATATCCAAGCACTTAAAAATGACATTTTAAAAAGCTGTTTAAATTTTAAGGTTCACTGTCCTTACATTTAATTAAGAAACAGAGAGGTAAAAGTAAGTTATTTTTGGAAAAAATTTCTCCTGTGCTTTAGTTTTTAAAATTATCTTTTTAATTATATGGAAGTAAAAAGAAAAATATAATGAACCCCTGGGTACTCTTTCCCTTATGTTTTTGCAAAAGATTATTTTTGAAAATTGGGCCTAAACCATATAAGACCATCACTTAGTTAATTAAACAGCACATAGGTTGAGTATCCTTTATCTGAAATGCTTGGGACCAGAAGTGTTTTGGACTTAAGGGTTTTTTTTTTATTTTGGAATATTTACATATATATCATGAGGTATCTTGGGAAAGGGACCCAAGTCTAAATGAGAAATTCATTTATGTTTCATATACACCTTATACACATAGCCTGAATATAATTTTATTTTTCCTTTGGGAATGCTGGATAAACTGTTGTGGAGTTGGATTTTGACTGTGAGTAGTCACGTGAGGTCAGATGTGGTACTGGTGGTTCCATGTCGGCACTCAAAAAGTTTTGTATTTTGGAGCATTTTGGATTTTGCATTTTCAAATTAGGGATGCTCAGCCTGTATTATAAATTAATTAATTACCAGCATTTATATGTGAAATTACATTTGTGGTGTTTCAAAACCATGAGTTATAGAAACCATTTGACACACGTAATAACATTACAGTTTCTGAAAACTGCCAAATTATTAGGATTAGGAGGCAGGTGAAAGTACATGTTACAGGGTGCAATATTGGCAGGCACAGCCTAATGAGTAACACCTAAGACTAAAGTATAATAGAATATGAATTTTAAAGCCCTAAGTGAATACTTTTTTATCTCTCCCCTTTTAAACAAAATATCTTTAAAAATATAGACTCAAGAGAGGATATTTCAATTTTAATTGTTTTTTTCTCCAACTAAGCATGTCCAGAAAAATTAAAAATCGTGTTCATTTCACAGCTTTAAATTATCTTCAAGTGGAATATGATAAGATTGAGATTTTAAATATCTTTTCTTCTATTTGTAATAAATGTAGGCAGTGAGAAGCAGTATCTATGGCCGTCCGGGTGCTTGCTATGTTGACATCCCTGCAGATTTTGTGAATCTCCAGGTGAATGTGAATTCTGTAAAGTGAGTAATAGTTATATTGGAATTCTTTCCTAAGTGTTACACATATTATCATAATGCTTACCTTTTAAAAAAGAATTTACCTAGGAGTTTAATGTCCATTTGTGTTAACTTTTGATAATTTAGTAATTAAACTAAATCCCAGCCAAAGGGCTTAATTCTCTTAATTAAAATGGTATTATTTAGTAATTATTTTTGGATTTGATTACTAAATCAAATACTTAAAGCTTCGCGAACTCCTCATTTGAAATTATTCCTCCAGTAACCATAATTATACATCCCCATTATTGTAGTATGGGTCCTTGGGAATCTTCATAATGTAAGCCAAGAGATGAGGTGATTATTAAAAATTTATTAGGACTCAGCATAAAGAATGTTTATGTAGCTGTCTCTGTGATTTAAAAATATTCCAACACAGAGGTTTCTATGATTTGTCATGTCCTCTTATTTCTTAAATAAACACTAAGTGAAAATAAATAGAAAAAGCATTTTTTCCCTGGTATCTAAGTCACCCCTGATAAGGATGGGTACTTGGGTTAAAACATCAAGCTGGATACAATTCAGTACATAACTGTTGTTGTGGACCATATGATTCTCTAGTGACTACAGAGAGACAGTGGGACTTTCTGTACACTCAGTACACCGTCAAGTGATTTCTGTTTGGGACATCTATTCCGTATAACTGAACATGTTAATCAAAATAATACTGAGGGTGGGGGCAAGCCTCACCTAAGTAAACTCTGTAAGCCTTTCTTTAAATTTTGTAAAGGTTGAGTGTCCTTTTTTATTGTATGTCCAAATTTTATACAATATGATTTTATTAATTAGAATAAATGAAATACTGCAGTGAGGACTTGGTGTCCAGAAATATTTAACTGTGACAAACTGCTTTAATTTTTTTTTTTTTACTAATACATACTGTGATACTAAAATATTAACTTTACCCAATGAATAGAAATATAGTAAAGTGTTTAAAAGCATACACTTTGGAGACAGTATGATTGTTTTAATCCAGTGTCTGCCACATGCCTGCCACTTGGGGACCTTGGGCAAGTTACTTACTTTCCCTGAGTCTTTTTTTCTCAGCGGTGTAATGGAAATAATGGTAATGCCTAACCTCATTGTTTTGACAAATAAGAATAAATGGCGCATAGTAAGTATTAAATATTAGCCTTTAGAATGGCTTTTACAACATATTATTACAACAACATATAAAATGGGGATAAGGAGCTGAAAAAAAATTTTAAAAATACAACAACCACTCCTACTGCTGCTGTCACAATACAAAGTCATTAACCCAAATTCTCTATGAATTAGCCATTTCATTGGCTATTAGATGATATTATGGAATAACTGTTAATATACTAGATGTGATAATGTTATGGTTGTACAGGAGAAGATCCTTCTTTTAGTACTGCATGGGCAAGTTTTGAGGGTGAAATGTCTTGATGCCTATAATTTACTTTAAAATGGTTCAGGAAAAAAATGCATATTTGTGTGTGGAGCAAATGTATTAATAAAATGATATTGTTGGATCTACATGGTGGGTATATGGAGCTTATTAATACTATTTTTTTCTACCTTTTTATTTTTTTTTCTTTTTTAAATCTTATTTTTATTTATTTATTTTTTTTTTAGAGACAAGGTCTCGCTGTATTGCCCAGGCTGGAGTGCAGTGGTACAATCATATCTCACTGCAACTTTGAACTCCTGGGCTCAAGCGATCATCCTGCCTCAGCCTTCCAAGTGGCTGGGACTACAGACTTGCACCACCACACCCGGCTAATTTTTCTATTTTTAGTAGAGACTGGATCTCGCTCTTGCTCAGGCTGGTCTTGAACTCCTGGGCTCAAGCGATACTCCCACCTTGGTCTTCCAGAGTGCTAGGATTACAGGTGTGAGCCACTGCAACCTACCTTTTCATATATTTGAAATTTTTACAATAAAAAAAAATATCTTAGAGTTGGCCTCTTTTAATTAAACAAGCTCTTTATTTCCAGGTACACGGAGTGCTGCATGTCGCCTCCTGTTAGCATGGCAGAAACCCCTGCTGTATGTATGGCAGCATCAGTTATTAGGAATGCCAAACAGCCCCTTCTTATCATCGGGAAAGGTAGCATTGAATAGAACTCTAAATCTTGCTAGACTTTTGAAAGAATGCTTGATTCTTTTTAGAAATGGTCTTCATTATTTATTAACATCTATCTAATGTTTGAAATTATAATAAGAGTTCTCTTTGTCCATTTAGCATTATTTATTAGTTTTGAAATTACAGAATTATCCCTGAATGCCCAGAGATCTCACCTGTTTGAGGAAATATCACCTATTTATATTTCTTTGGTCTTATGAGTAAAATGTGCTTTTACTTGTATAAACATTTTGAGAAAATCCAGAAAAGTAGAAAGAAGAAATCCCTTCATCCAAGGCAACCATTTTTAACATTTCATACTTTTCTATTCCTTTTTTCATGCATATTTTACATATTATGATTATACTATATAGATAGTTTTATATCCTACCTTATTCATTTAACATAATATTTTTATATTTTTTCATCATCTTTAAATTATTTCCTAAATATAATATATATTTTAATGTCTGTTTATGTGTACCTCAACACTTACTTTACTGGCACATATTTAAATCTTTTCCAGTTACTGTCTGTTTAGAGTAGCTGTGGCAAACATGTTTGTGCCTAAAGCTTTTTCCATATTTAGGATTTAAGGTAGATCCCCAGAAAGAAAGTTAAGTTAAAAATTAGGAATATTTTTAAGACTTTTGGTACATATTGTCAAATTGCTTTCTCCTGAGGTGTTGTACCAACTTGATAGTCCTGTCAGTAATTTATTATAGTATCCATTTTGTGTTCTAGAACTGAGACTGCCGGAATCACCTGTGACCATGCTAGGCAATTATCAACTACTTAGGAACTAAATAAATAGAAATTAAAAATAGTTTTGATGAAAATCATGGACAATAAAAAAAAAATTGAGGTCAGAGCTGAGTCGAATGCATTATATGATGTATTAGTCTGTGACTTTCGCAAACAACTGCTTTGAGGGTCAATTACCTCACTTGTAAAATGGAGATATTAACTACCTCAGTAGAATATAATTAAATAGCAAAGTATGTGGCAAGCACTCAGTGGGTGCTGTAATAGTTTTCATTCTTCCTTTAATGAACATTTGATGAGTGCTTATGATAAGGCAGGGATTGTAGAAAACATTCATGAGGGATACGGAGAAATAATGGTTCCCGCCTATGAGGAAGATAGACTTGGTAACAAGTAAGTGCAATATACTCTTTGTGTGGTGTATACAGAGAGGGTGAGGTGGCAGCAACAATTTGCTTGTGTAGGTGGTATGGAAAGACTATAATAGTTCACCTAGCAGACAAAGAGACCAAAGGCAATACAGGAATAGAGAACCAAGTATACAAAGACATTGAGGCAAGTCTCAATGTCTTTGTCGCAGAGCGTGGAGCTTAACTGAATCGTCCAACACATTTGCATTTCTTGTAGGTGCTGCCTATGCTCATGCAGAGGAGAATATCAGGAAATTGGTGGAGCAGTGTAAATTGCCATTTTTGCCCACCCCTATGGGGAAGGGTGTGGTCCCTGACAACCATCCAAACTGCGTAGGCGCAGCCAGATCCAGGTGCGTGGTGTTCCAGATTTTAAATGCAATGTCATAGCAGATTTTAGGTTAAATGATTTTGTGATACTAACGAATCTAGGGAGAAGTTCTGAAAGAATCATGTAAGTTACCCTATTTGTAATATATTGTTTTTCTGACTGCTCCCAAGATTTTTTTTTATCTTTGGTTTTCAGCAGTTTAATTATGATATATCTGGACATGGTTTTCTTTTTTTAGTTTAGCCTGTTTGGAGTTCTCAGATCTTCTTGAATCTGAAAATTCATGTCTTTCTCCAAATTTGAAAGTTTGCACCATTATTTCTTCAGAAATTTTTTCTACATCAATCTTTTTCTTCTCTCTTGGAACTCCAGTGATACAAATATTAGACGTTTTGATATTGTCCCAGAGGTCCCCGGGCATCGTTCATTTCTTTTTAATCCTTTTCTCTCTTATATGTTCTATTTCTCTATTGAGAACTTCTATTTTTACACTTATTTCAAGAATATTTTTCCTTACTTCCTGGAGCATAGTTATAATAGCTGCTTTAAAGTCTTTGTTTATTAATTCTACCATCTGGGTCATTTTGGATTGGCATCTATTTATTATCTTTCCTTTTGAGAATTGGTCACATATTTCTGGTTCTTTTTGTACTTGAGTAATTTGGGATTGTATCCTGGATTTTTGAATATTATGTTGTGAGATTCTGGATCATATTAAAATCTTCTGCAGAATGTTGATTTTTGTTTATTTGTTGTTTTAGCAAGCAGTCAATGTGGTTAGGTTAGCTTCAGACTATAAGTACTCTCTTACTGTAGACAGTAGTTCTAGGGTCAGTGCAGTTTCGGAGCTTTTACTGTGCTGTTTTGGGTCTTGCTGCACGTGCCCCGCTTAGGGGCGAGCCTCAAACATGTCATGGTTTATACCCAGAATTAGAGATTTCTTTTCACTCCTCTCTAGGACTTCCTGGCTCCCCTCCCCTACCCCCATTCCCAGACATCCTGGCCTTGGTGGGTTTTTTTTTTTTCTGGAGACTGAGTGGAGAGTGTTGTTTTTATTATTAATGATATAATAGTGGATCACATCCTGACCTTCGTTGCTGCCTTATAGTACCACACAACTGAAGTTGCCCTCAGAGCAAGTTGCAAAAGAAAAAAGTAATGGGGATTGTCTCCATACTCTTCAGACCACAAGGGTCCTTTTCCCAGTTCCTCTGCCTGAAAGATGATATTTCTCTGGAAGTTTATAATAGCTGCTTGGGAGCCACCACGCTACAGCTCTGCAACAGGGCTGCCCTCAGAGCAAGGCTGGGAGAGAAAGAGAAACAGAAAAAAAAAATCTGATTTTTTTCTCCCATACTCTCCAGCATGCAGCATTCTTGGTACTTTGGCCAAAATGATGGTTTCTCCTCAAGTTTTTGCTGCCTGCAGTTCTGCAGCTAGGGCTGCCCTTGAGTTAAAACCAGGAGATAAAAAGGGGGAAAAAAACCTTGGGAACTCACCCCCTGTGTGTTTGCTTCTTCAAACATACCCAATCTTGGCTGTCCCTGGAAGCCCCCTCTTTTTAGACTTTTAAGACACAGTTTGTGATATACTATACCTTTTTTTGTTTTTTTTTTTGAGACAGTCTCACTCTCTTGCCTGGGCTAGAGTGCCGGGGCGTCAGCCTACCTCACAGCAACCTCAAACTCCTGGGCTCAAGCGATCCTCCTGCCTCAGCCTCTCAGGTAGCTGGGACTACAGGCACACGCCACCATGCCCTGCTAGCTTTTTCTATTTTTAGTTGTTTGGACAATTTCTTTCTATTTTTTTTAGTAGAGACGGGGTCTTGCTCTTGCTCAGGCTGGTCTCAAACTTCTGACCTCAAGCGATCCTCCTGCCTCGGCCTCCCAGAGTACTAGGATTATAAGCGTGAGCCACCGCGCCCGGCCTACTATACTTTTTTAAAAACATTTCTTGAAATTTCTTTATTATGAAATATTCTAAATATAAAGACAGGAAGAGAGAATAAGTTAATGAACGCTTATATAACCACCACTCAACTTTTTCAATGCCGACAAAAAATACAGAGAGACAAGTTCTAAGTAAAAAGTTTTTATTTGGGAATAATATATAAGAAATAGGATCGCAATCTGGGACATACATACAGACCAAGGTGGCCTACTGTATATCTGGAGAACAAAGGAAAAGGTTAGGGTTTTATTGGGGAAAGACGAAGTTATACAATTTTTTTAAAAGATACCGAGGCAGGAGGATCGCTCAAGGTCAGGAGTTCAAGACCAGCCTGAGGAAGAGTGAGACCCCGTCTCTACTAAAAATAGAAAGAAATTAGCTGGACAACTAAAAATATATAGAAAAAATTAGCCGGGCATGGTGGCGCATGCCTGTACTCCCAACTACTCAGGAGGCTGAGGCAGGAGGATTGCTTGAGCCCAGGAGTTTGAGGTTGCTGTGAGCTAGCCTGACGCCATGGCACTCTAGCCCAGGCAACAGAGCAAGACTCTGTCTCAAAAAAAAAAAGAAAGTGTATTGGCGTCTACAATGTCTTTCGGGAGCTGGTAAGCCCTGATTGGTGATTGATGGCAGTTGCCAGGTCATAGGGGGCTATTTATTGGATTGGGCTTGTGAGACAATATGTCAAGCAAGTGTTTTTGTATAAGCAGCTAGCTGTCCTTATGTGACTCATGTAGTAATCTGTGGTTTGGAAAAATTTCTTATGATAGTTCCTGTTATCAGGCAAATCATTAATGAGAGCCCTCCCCTCATGGCATTCCCCAGCTCCATTTGCCAGGGTTTGACACAAGTGAGTCCGTTTTAAATCTGATGACAATTTTGTTTTTTCCGAGACAGAGTCTTGCTCTGTCATCCCAGCTAGAGTGCAGTGGCGTCATAGTTTACTGCAACCTCAAATTCCTGGGCTCAAGCGATCCTCTTTCCTCAGCCTTCTGAGTAACTGGGACTACAGGCGCATGCCACAAGACCTGGCTAATTTTTCTACTTTTTAGTAGAGACGGGGTCTTGCTCTTGCTCAGGCTGGTCTCGAACTCCTGAGCTCAAGCAATCCTCCTGCCTCGGCCTCCAAAAGTGCTAGGATTACAGGTGTGAGCCACCGCACCTGACCTAAATCTGACAAATTTTGCATCAGATATTAACACTATGTTATAGATTCATTTGCAGTCCCCTATATATCATTCTGGACCCCTTTCCATCCCTCCCTCTTCATAGTTCACCACTGTCATGCATTTGGTGTTCTTTGTAATCTCATGCATGGATTACAATTAATTCTGAGGGTTTTTTAAATGTAATTTTTGCCACTCGATCTTTAATTGTTGCTCATTTAATGCTATCTTAATAGATTATGTATTAACTTTTTATTCATATTAGTATACTTTATACAATAACCAAATTAATTCATTAATTAAAAGAAATTTTTTATGTTTAGGTTGAGCTGAAGTTTATTTTCCTTCTAGCCAAATTTTAAGAAGATAATGACATTAATAACGTAAAAAAGATTGCAAGGTGCTATAAATAATTGAATCAATAATTTCAGCGGTTTTAGAGTATCAGTAAGCAAATCTATTGTGCCAATTGCAGTTTTTATTTTTTTGTTAAATTTGGTCCCATAGGACTAATATAGTATATGAAGATTCTTTTTTGAGTATGTACTTTCTTTTTGAGTTTATAATTTCTCTGAAAATTGCATTCATCACTGAAGAAAACAAAAGTAGTAAATACAGATCCCGTATGACAAAAGATAGAAAAAATGGGAAACAGACATAAGAAGCAGAAAAATGAGAAATAAAAAACAAAACCCACAGCAGTTATGATAATAAGCTGTCCTGGACAAAGGCAGAGACATTCAGATTGGATTAATAATAACAGCAACTAAATGTATTATAAGAGCCACATCTGAAACAATAATATAGCTTAAAAACAAGACTGGGCAAAGACATATGAAGTAAACAAAAGGAAAGCAAGGATGGCTGTGGTATCACAGTAAAAATCATTAACAGTCAGAGTTATATTGACAAAAGTATTATAATATGTAAAATAAAACTATTAGAAATATACTTGGTATAATATTATGGAAAGCAATTCAGGAATATGAATCAATAGTCTTAAAAATACTTGCTTCTAGAAATCAGTGTGAAGAGTGCATTAAGACTTAAGTATAAAGATATCCCACTCAGTACTATTAGTTACAAAGAAAATATCCAGCAATTGAGAAAACATTAAATAAACTGTGGTGTATGTGTTCAGCAAAATATGTAGCCTTTAAAAATTGTACTTAAGAAGAACTTAATAACAAAGGAAAACATTTATAATGAGCAAAAGTGCATGAGACAGTATTATAGTATATAAGCTCAACTATGTAAGAATATACTTGCATAGAAAAAAAGACTAGATGAAAATATGCCAGGATATTAATAATAGTTTATAAATTGACAGTATTATGGGGTGATTTTGTTTTTTTCTTTATACTTTTTCTGTTTTTTCCGGGTTGTCTATAGTGGACTTGTATGAACTTTTCTAATGATAAAAAGTAATAAATAAAATACAGTATAGAGACAGTTTATGGTAATATTTTTTCTACTTCATCTTTTAAATTACTATTTTAATAGAATGGTTTCATAAATGATTTTAGTTTGAAAGATCAAGTTTACCCTAGAAGCTGATTCTAAAGTCTAATGTAAGCTCTAAATTATGTAGACTTTTAAAAATACTTTAGAAATTAATTTTAGAATAATTCACATAAGAAGTATAGTTATTCTTTTTGTGTTATATCAGATGTTTTTTTAAATAGGGCTTTGCAGTTTGCCGATGTAATCGTGTTACTTGGTGCCAGACTAAATTGGATTTTACATTTTGGACTACCTCCAAGATACCGGCCAGATGTGAAGTTTATCCAGGTACTTAGAGAGGAGAGATTTAAAATCAGAGCTGTCTGCAGTTTATTGTTCTCCTTCTCAACCATTATCAGCTGTGCTTTCTTTCTGACTTCTGTAAAGAACTGTTTCTCTTTTTACAAAAGTAGAATTTTATAAATTGTCTAACATAATTACAGGTACCAAAATAAGCTGCCTTCTCAAGCCTGTGAAACATAATGTGCTGCTTTATTTCTAACCAGAAAACCTTTCAAAATCAAGTTTCAAATAGTTTGAAAAGTATAATTTGCCTCTTCTTCACAGTTCAAGTATATTTAAAGGTAGAGAAAACAGATTTAAGTAGGATGGTAGATTAGAATGAAACATTTGGCATTGGTAAGAAGTGAGGTAGGTTTTCTTTTAGAAGCCAAAACTTTCTTTGATCTTTTGGTTGGAAATCTCTAAACTACACTGCTTTTTCTATGTCATCAAACAGTGTCTGGAATATACTCTGATCTCTCTTTGATGACCCTTGTATTATTAGGATCCTCTTTATAATCCAGTTTCCTTACTGGTGTGGAAAGTACTACTTACATAGTGACATGCAAACCTACAAGTTCTACACAATTGTCCTCATTCCATTGGATATTTGATGACCCAGCTACAGTTGCTATCTTCTCCCAATCTACCTTTCACTTCTTAAGGAATCAACTTTTAATAGCCCCTTTACCAATGAGGACATTGAGAACTGAAACCACAAACCAGCAAGACCTTGGGTTGTGCCTAGAAGATGCTGCTACCTCTTGGTTGCCCCTCTTGATTACAAGATAAACCACATCCCCTTTGGGGTGGCTAAATTATTCCTCCTTGCAGAAGCCATTTTCACTTGTCCATGGCCATCCAGAAATGGAGCTTCTGAGTAAATGGGGAAGTAATCACGCTGCGTTCATGGAGTGGTTCTCTGGGTCAGCAGCATTAACACCACCTGGGTAAACTGTTAGAAATGCACATTTCCAGACCCAGACCTCTCGAAATCGGAAGCCCTGAGGTGGACCCCTGCAACCTATGGTTTAACTAACCCACCAGGTGATTGTGATATATGCTCAAATTTGATAACCCCCTGCTCTAGATAGAAATTTCAAATATAATTCAATAGAACTGTCATTGATTAGATTCAAAACTGTAATTGATCAGGTCAAATATATTTCTGTGAGTATAGTAGAACAATACCAAAATTCCTTATATTAGATTTTAAAATGAGGGAAGATGATGAGGTTCTCTATACTAGCTATGATACTAATATAGTTCTATGGACTTTTGCTTTTGTTAAGGAACTTCTGAATATCAAAGCTTTATCATATGTTATATATGCACAGTTCATTTATTCAGTGTCGATTGACTTCTTAAAGATTTTTAAGAATAAACATGAGTTGTTGTTTAGCCATGTCTCATTTTTAGGTTGACATCTGTGCAGAAGAATTGGGGAATAATGTAAGGCCTGCTGTGACTTTGCTAGGAGACATAAATGCTGTCACTAAACAGGTAAAAGGACTTCTGCCTGGCTTTTAGTTTATGTGGATTAATCTTTAGGAAATAGTCAATTCTTTTTTTTTTTTTTTGAGACAGAGTCTCACTTTGTTGCCCAGGCTAGAGTGCCGTGGCGTTAGCCTAGCTCACAGCAACCTCAAACTCCTGGGCTCAAGCGATCCTCCTGCCTCAGCCTCCTGAGTAGCTGGGACTACAGGCATGCGCCACCATGCCCGGCTAATTTTTTCTATATATTTTTAGTTGTCTGATTAATTTCTTTCTAATTTTAGTAGAGACGGGGTCTCGCTCTTGCTCAGGCTGGTTTCGAACTCCTGAGCTCAAACAATCTGCCCACCTCGGCCTCCCAGAGAGCTAGGATTACAGGCGTGAGCCACCGCGCCCGGCCTGAAATAGTCAATTCTTGAAAATGTTTTAGTCTTGATTCATGTGGTAACATGTTTATTAATATCTGTTTTAAATAAAATTTATTATGGAAAACTTCTTACTACAACTTTGGAACTTGGTAAATCCAACTTCTTGTATATAGCTCATTTTTATGTAAATTAAGCATTTTTGGAAGGCAATAGAAAATTTAAAGTCCTTCAGTATGCAAACAGTGACTTACTATACAGGATCGAGCTCTCAGAAAAAGTATAATACACCTTTCAAAGGAATGGAACTTACAAGCCAAGAAATGGCTTACTCACTGGAAAAATCGAACTTAGTATTTCTTTAGGTAATAAAGAGCTTTTTACTCTTCAAGCTGTAATCAGTGACTTTTCCAGTTTCTTATTATTTGTACATAGTTTATATATTTCACTGTGAAAGGAGGTAAAATATAGTCACATTTATCACTTGATTTTGGGTGGTACAAATTGGTATTGTTATGACTATAGGATATTAGGATACAATCCCCATTAACGTATTAAATCACTCTGGAGCATTTTTGGTCTGTATCATAGGAATCAATAGGTATTGGTTGGCGTTCCTGCAAGGTTTCTATTGAGAGGATGGTTTTCCTTCTGGTGTCAAAGACTGAGGAGGGCTTCAGAGCCTCTGCCTGAGGTGTGGAGGAAGCACTTCCCTCTGTCCTATGGGAATCTCAGCATCTGGCAGAAAACCACAGTGACCCAAACAAAAGCTTTCATGTTACCCATTTATCTTCTATCAGTTGTTTGCTACCTAGAGGAAAAATAAATAGTCCTAGTGATGCAAAGGGTAGAATAGTATGGCAGTATTTTCTTCTTTAAAAGGAGATTTTTTATGTTAATATGATTTAAGTTTATTTTCAAAAAGAAAAAAATTGTGGTTTTTTTAGCTTTTAGAAGAATTTGATAAAATACCATGGCAGTATCCTCCAGAGAGCAAGTGGTGGAAAACTCTGAGGGAAAAAATGAAGAGCAATGAAGCTGCGTCTAAGGTAAGAAGGGATCCACTGAAGCTCGGTTAGTTCTGCCGTAATGTGACGTATGCATTCCTAAAAATCACCTTGCTGTGCAAAATCATGCAATATAAACCCCAGGGCTCATGGGAAAAAGGGGTTAAGGGACATAACTCTCAAAAAGTTTATGAAACCTAATAAGATAGGAACTTAGTAAAAATGGTAGCAAAGTTTTAAACATGTTAAATGGTTAAGAAGTATATGCCAGTAAATATAGCACTTTACCTTGAAAAAGACCTTAAGTGGGAAGCAGGCATTGGGAGGGTTGTGGCTTGTGGGTTGCTGTGAGATGGTGGAAGGAGGGTGATCTGACATGGGAGGGAAAGTTGCAGTAGTGGATGCGATGGATGTGGCTCATTGTTCTCAGTTTGATGTTGACACAGAACATCACAGGTGATTTTTTTGGAACCTTAAATCCTGAGGCATGTCAGGGCATGTTTTTCTGCCTTTAAGATATAGGACCCTCTGCCTGGGTGTGGTGTCTTATGCCTGTAATCCCAGCACTTTGGGAGGCCAAGGCAGGAGGATCACTTGAGGCCAGGAGTTTGAGACAGCCTGAGCAACTTAGTGAGACCCACCCCCCCCAATCTCTACAAAAAATTTTTAAAAATATTAGCTGGGCACAATGGTGCATGCCTGTAGTCCAAACTGCTTGGGAGGCTGAGGCAGGAGGATCGCTTGAGCCCAGGAGTTTGAGGTTGTAATTAGCTATAATGATTCTGCTGCACTCTAGCCTGGGCAACAGAGTGAGACCCTGTCTCAAAAAAAAAAAAAGATCTCAGACCTTCAAGGCATAAGATTATAAAAGATAGCTGTTTCATCAAAATGGAAAATTTAATCCAATGTATAGTCTTCTTTTTAATTTAACTTTTCTATTACTGCTAGAAATTCCTTTGCAGCTCTTTCATTTGAACTTGTGGCTTTGTCTGATAATGAAGACTTTGGACATTGTAGTGATGTTTGAAACCACCAAACCATTGACTGCTAAAAGCACTAAGATGAGTCACTTCTGCAAGACTTGGCAATTTTTATTTAAAGTCTCTGTATATATGTGTAATGCTTTTCCTCTGATTGTGAGAAAGGTATTTCCTGATTTTTTTCAGCGTTTTGTGTATTCCTATATATCTTGAGTCAGCTGAGTGCAATTTTCTGTGGTCACCTAGTGTTTCTTGCTGGCAGAATTATGCATAAGCAAATATGAAATTTGAGTTATGCTTACTTGATTCCCTAATATATCAATCATCTTGGAACAAATTCATATTTTTTCACCAAACATTATAGCAGAATTGATTATACATAAATCTTACATTGCAATTTTAATCAGTGACTGTTTCTCCTATTAGGAGCCAGACTGAATTCTATTTCTTGAATCATATCATGACCTTCTTTTTCCTAGGACTGATCTTAGTTTAAGATGGAAGGAACTTGCCTCTCTTCTCTGGTACAGGAGTATAGGAAGGTCCCTCATCCATCTTGGGTGTATCTCCAGCAGAACAAAGTAGCATAAGAGGCAGTGCTGGGGCCAGATGGCTCTGTTGCTGCTAAAGCCCCCTGTGGCTTTCTCCCAGCTCTATATAGAAGGCATGTGGCTAGGCAAAGGCATTTTCCCTGCTGCTTTTCCCTCCATTCAGGTAGGGATTCTTTAGAATAGTGGGTGTAGCATATCCGCTTTACTCTCCGGTGTGTGGAGGAAGAACCAGATTTTCAGATTGTTTTCTAAAATTATGATATTTTTATTTTAAGTTTAGGGCCATATTTCAGATGAAATTAGTCTGGAATAAAAGTTTTACTTTTTCAAAGGCAGCGTTTTCCTAAGAGTGCTCAAATAAGAATGTTTAGTTTTGTTTAACCCAATCTTTCCCAGCTATCTTTACTATTGGACTTCTCAGTGTTTAATATGCTACTATGCACTGCGGATCTCCAGAAAGAGATTTTCCCTGACCTTTTTTTTTTTTTTTTTTTTTTTTGAGACAGGGTCTCACTCTGTTGCCTGGGCTAGATTGCAGTAGCATCATGATAGCGTACTGTAAACTCAAACTCCTTGGCTCAAGCAATCCTCCTGCCTCAGCCTCCCAAGTAGCGGGGACTACAGGTGTGAGCCACTGCAACCAGCTAATTTTCAAATTTTTTGTAGAGACAGTGTCACAATGTTGCCCAGGCTGGTCTTGAACTCCTGGCCTCAAGCAATCATCTGGCCTCCCTAACTTATTTGACTTTGTGCCAAACAGGGGCTGTGGGACACATTTTTCTTAGCATGTCCCCCAGAACTGTTCATAGGTCAATTAACTTCTCAGAGTGGCCATTTTATAATAATTTTGGGAACCTTATAGTTGTTGCCTATTTCCAAGTAAGTTTGATAGTAGCTTATTGACATTGGTTATTTTCATTGTATCCCAATCTAATTTGATTATATTCCGGTCTACTTTTTAGGAATTAGCTTCCCAAAAATCCCTGCCTATGAATTATTATACAGTATTCTACCATGTTCAAGAACAACTACCCAGGGACTGTTTTATTGTAAGTGAAGGAGCAAATACGATGGACATTGGACGCACTGTGCTTCAAAACTACCTTCCTCGTCACAGGTAAGTCTTCTAAGAAAGAAGCTATAATTAATTATAATATGTTTAATTTGAAACTATAATAATACAGATTAAGGAAACATTAGAGAATTATACATGTGAAGTATATGAGGACATATTTCATAAAAGTATTCTTAGGTGAGGTTTTGTAGAGTTATTACACTTGATATGTCCTTGGTATCATGTGATAATTTGTATTCTCAATGTTCTGAGGATATATTTATAGTCTTCAAACAGTCATGCGTGCTTTTCCCTATCATTCTGCTTATTCTTGACAAATTAGTTCCTCATAGTCTAAAGATTTTATATTAAAGAAAAAGAATGTTTTCATGGTTCTTTATTTTTTCATAAACCATGTGAATATGACTGAAAGGTTTATGTCAACTCCACCCTCTGTGACATGCCCCAGAGTTTCATTTTAGTTTTGTTCCCCAACAGGCTTGATGCTGGTACTTTTGGAACAATGGGAGTTGGTTTGGGATTTGCTGTTGCAGCTGCTGTACTAGCTAAAGATAGAAGCCCTGGGCAGCGGGTCATCTGTGTGGAAGGAGACAGTGCGTTTGGGTTTTCTGGCATGGAGGTGGAAACCATCTGCAGGTAAAACAGCATCCTGAATGAGAGTATTTCATTCTCCAAAATATGAAAAATTGTATACCCATTTGCCTAATAAATATTTACCAAGAGTTCACCATGTGCCAAGGGCCCTGTGCATAGCATTGTGCTCTGTGCTGATAATACCAGTACAAGTAACCCAGGGTCTTTCTCTTCCAGGACAGTGTGTTCCTGACCTCCTCACAGTATGCTAAAAACCTGTAAATCTGGAGGGGGTAGTTTTGAGGTCACTGAAAAAAAAATGATTTGGCCTGAGAGAGCTTGTTTTCTTCAGGGAGACAGCAGAGTGTAGTGGTTAAGAGCATAGCCTCTGGGACAAATGGCCTGGATTTAAATACTGGTTCTATTGTGTCAAAACCAAGTGACTTTGTTTAAGTCATTTAACCAAGCCTCACTTTCTTCTCCTCCAAAATAGGAATAGTAATAGTTCCTGCCTTAGAGAATGGTTGAAAGGAACAAATGAGATAATCCAGGTAAATTTTGAGGTGATGTTCTGTGAATGTGAGCCAGTTGGATGATGTTTGTAGTTATGAGGATTCATGGAGAAACTCACGGGTTGTAGATCCACTGTGAAAGTATGGAGATTTCTTTTCCCCAACTATATTTAAACTGTAGTAAAACCATTCTTTTCTTAGCCAGGGCTCTTATTAGGGTTTTTTTGACTCATGTTTGGGGCTTTCAAAGCTTTGATATATAAAACTTACAAGACTGGGGGAAGGTACAGTTGTCCCTTGGTATCCATAGGGGATGGATTCCAGGACCCTCCCTCAGTTACCAAAATCTGAGGATGCTCAAGTCCCTGATATAAAATAGTATAGTATTTGCAAATAACCTATGCACATCCTCCAATATATTTTAAATCATCTCTAGATTACTTATAATACTTAATACAATGTAAATGCTATGTAAGTAGTTGTTATACTGTATCATTTAGGGAATAACGACAAGGGAAAAAGTCTACGTGTTTAGTACAGACACAATTTTTTAAAAAATATTTTTGATCTGCGGTTGGTTAAATCCACAGATGCAGAGCTCACAGGTATGGAGGGCCAACTGTGTCTGTTAAGAGTGTATCGACAACCAACTGACATACAACAAAAAGGTGATTTATGAGGAAGTTGGCCTTCTAGAGAATGATTCCCTTTGAGCATGGAGAGAAATAGTTACCACAGTCCTGTTATTTAACAGCATGCAATTTAGTTTTATTTTTACCACCTGCCTTCAGAAATTACATCAGAAAATAAAGCCCACATTCTTTTTCAGTTATTAATAAAGGTTAATCATCTTTTTTTGGTCTTTGCTATACTGTTTAGCACATTGTTAGATACTCTCTTTCTGTACTAATTACACCGCGTAATGTGTTTCTAATAATGGGTGCAGTGGCTTGAGCGCAGATTGTGTATCTCACTTGTGTATCTCCCGCAGCATCTAGTCTGAGGAGCTCAGGAAGTAGAAAGGCAGTTTTCAACTAGTACTTCTAGAAACCACCCAGAAGAGGTGCTTTAGAGGGTATTAAGTAGGGAAGGTGTCATTCATATTACCATCTACATCTATGAAAACCCAGATTCAGAAAAGTTCAGTGATCTGCCTGAGGTCCATAGCTAAATGGCGGTAAAACCAGGTCTACTAACTCTTAATCTTACATTTTTTCTACCATTTCATGGTGTTTCTGATAATGATTTTATCAAACAGAAATCTTTGTTAGGATAATACATGCTTAACTTTTAGTGTTCCTCTAAAATTACGGAAAGTTTATAGAAAACTTTATCCCCTTTTTAAGTTAAAATTTCAGCCCAAAGAAAAGAAATTGCTTAAGAATAAAGAATGATTTCCTTCATATTTTACTTTCACTTTGAGGTACAACTTGCCGATCATACTCTTGGTGGTGAATAATAATGGAATTTACCAAGGTTTTGATACAGATACTTGGAAAGAAATGTTAAAATCTCAAGATGCTACTATAGCGTAAGTAACTGAAAACAATTTATATTTACTTTCTCTCATCTATTTTAATCTCTCTTTACAAAATCTACTGTATTAGAATGTACCTACATGGTTAAGTATGATCTGTTTTGATTGTCAGCCCTTATAAAGGGCAGGAATCCTGTCTTTGTGGTTCCTCTTTGCACAGATATCCATAATTAGGTGCTTCAGTAGCTTATGATCAGGGAGCCACGGAAGACTCAGATAAATGAGCATGACATCTGAGCCTTATTAATGAAAGAGCTTATTGCAAAATGCTCCCAGTCGTACTATGTAGGAATATGAATGTTTACATATTATGATCCGGAGGTCTTCATTCCTTTTACCACTTAGCTAAATCTCGATCATCTGGTAGCAGAGCCAAACTAAGACAGTGTTGTGGCTGGCCATAGGGTATGAGACAGACGTGAATTTGTGAACCAGCGTGGGGATGGAATAGGATAAGGGTATATTTGTTTATGCCTCACTGACTTCATTTGTTATTTTGCTGTTATTTGTTGTTTTGTAATAACCATTTTTTAATAATAGTTGATAGTGTAGCTTGTGCTGTGTAGTACAATAGCCACTAGGCACATTGAATTGTTACAATTTAAATTTTTTTTTTTTTTTTTGGTGACAAGGTCTCTCTCTCTCTCTTGCTCGGACTAGAGTGTAGTAGCATCATCATAGGTCACTGCAGCCTCCAACTCCAAGGCTTAAGTGATTCTCCTGCATCAGCCTCCTGAGTAGCTGAGAATATAGTCATGCATCACCACGTCCAGCTGATTTTTTTTGTTGTTTTTTTTTTTTGTAGAGATGGCATCTTGCCATCGCCCAGGCTGGTCTCAAATGCTTGGCCTCAAGTGATCCTTCTGTCTCGGCCTCCCAAAGTGCTGGGAGTACAGGCATGAGCCACGGCACCTGGCCCGCAATTTAAATTTAAATTATTTTAAGTTAAATGAAATTAAAAATTGAGTTCCTTAGTTTAACTAGTCACATTTCAAGTGCTCACAGAAACAAGTAGATAGTGGCTATTATATTGGATAGCACAGGAATAAAACATTTCTATTGTCTCGGAAAGTTCTATTAGACATTGCTATATAGACAATAAAAAATATAGGGAAAATTTAGTGTACTGGCATCTCAGTTTAATTGTTGGAAATAAAAGTATGCCTTTCAATTCAGCCTAAATTTTTTTATGGGTTATTTCGAGAATGGCTTTTTTTCTAAAAATTTTCAAGTTTTAAATTTCATTGACTTGTGCCCTTGTTTTTCAGGGCCCCTCCAGTGTGTCTTCTGCCAAATTCTCGTTATGAGCAGGTCATGACTGCATTTGGAGGCAAAGGGTATTTTGTGCAAACACCAGAAGAACTCCAAAAATCCCTGAGGCAAACCCTAGCAGACACAACTAAACCCTCTCTTATCAACATCATGATTGAGCCACAAGCCACACGGAAGGCCCAGGTAAATGCAGGTGCTAAACAGAAAGCAAGAAATGCGTCTATTCCTCCACCCACTCCAAAGAGTATCTACCAAACAGAGCACGCTTTATTATCCACAGAGGTCTTTCTAAGCCATTTCTGAGTTTGGCAGTTTTACTTTTTTGTTTAACGAAGATTTGTTGACATAATGTGTAAGGTGTGTTGTCTTAGGTGCTAAGAATAGCATGGTGAAGCAAAACTAGGCTGAGCCCTCACCTTCACCGAGCTTGCAGTCCAGTAGAGTAGAGAGACAGTGTGGTAACCTCACAATTGAATGCACCATGACAGAGTGAGGCAATTGTTTGGAAGGAAGGAACCCAGTTCTAAGCAAACATACAACAAAGGAATCTGGTGGTACTGGAAGGCTTCTCAGAGGAAGTGATGCATAAACTGAGATGGGAGAGATGAGTAGGGACTAACTCGGCAAAGAGGGGAGGGAAGAGATGTGCAAAGGCTCTGAGGCAAGAGGGAGCATGCCACGTCTGAGGAGTGACAAAGGCCAGAGTGGCTGGACGACAGAGTGGAGGAAGTAACGTGGGCAGTTAGACGGTATTCAGACAATTCGTGCTGTTACATTCAAAATTAGTGACTTTGACCTCTAAGGCAAAACTACAGTGTAGGTTACAGCAGTGAAATAAATGACTAAAGGTGTATGATCCTCTCCCATCCCAGATTAAGTTGCTTTTCATTCTTAATTTTGTTACCTGGTCCTGGTCCTGCCACTTGCTTCCTCTTATAACCTGTCTTCCATGCTTACACCTTGCATATCAGCCACTCTTCAGAGCCAGCATTTTTCAAGTACTTTCTGTCTTGGTTTTTACACATGTGTCCACTGTGGGATCTCTTCCTTTTTTGAACAAGGCTGGGGACAAATGGGCAGACCTACCTGGACGATCCATGAAATATAAATTAACTAATTTAGAAACTGTAAAATATATAAAATTTTACTGAAATTCTGTTTGTGTAAAAACAGATATTAGAGACCCTGGCATTTGCCTCAAGCAGAGAGAAGAGGTACTCAAGAAGAAGCTAGTAACAAGGAAGTTAAGTACAGGACTGTGACAGGCAGGGTGTCAGTGGGATTTCCTAGGAGCAGGCAGGCAGGCTATTCTGAGGTAGGACTAACACCTTTCAGAAGCTACTCTACCCCTGTGGGCTTACTGATCGCCTTTTCTTTTTTTAAATGCTATTTGTCAAAACGATTTATACCAACCAGATACCCAATAGACAGGTTTTTAAATCTCATGCTGTTTTATTAACTTATGACTGGGTATATACTTTCCAATGATAGGAACAGTAGTTTTGCAACCCAGGATGCCCCCCTGCTGGCATCAGGCCATCAGAATACTATGGGAACTAAAGCCACTATGACAAGCTTGGTGAATGCATACAATAAAAATAATCTTGAGATCTATGTTAATCATAGAAGAGCCCTAATAAATTGTCCCCTCTCTGCTAGTGAGTTCACCTTTCTAAGATCTGCTTCCAGTGATCTGTTTTACAATTTCCCTATGAATTTTGTTTGAGTATTCCTGGAGAAACAGAAGTTCTTATCCTTCTCTATTATAATTCTATGAGGATTATCCTTATATTTCTTGCATTTCTCACTTCAGCATTATTTATATTCATTCCAGTGAAATTCTATACATATTATAATCTCTAAGCTGTTGATTTTTGTCTTGTCTATCCATCTGCCATTTGTCATTAATTCTCTGTGTAGGCTGGCTGCTTTCTGCTTTGATACAGAGAATGCCTAGATCTGTGCAGTAGTCTGTGTCCAGACCATATGTGTAGGATGGTGTTAGTCCTAGAAAAGGCTGACAAGCACAGTTCTTCCTACCCATGTTCTTCTCTGGGAGGTTAGCTTCTGTGGGCCTCCTTCACCTCCTCTCTCCTTTTGAGTGCACTTCTGGTTCTTTCAGAGTGGGGTTTTTGTGCCCTGATTGCTGTTAATAGAAGAGGACCCAGAAAGCCATTTTAGATTGTTTTGTAGGACATGACAGCCAGGTTCACTAATGGATTTTTAGCTCCTTTTTGGGAAAAGCACTAGACCAAAAACAAACCTCATTTACCCACCATTATGTAGCACTTTTAAATTTTAGAACAAGCAAAACAGTGAGGATAGAGTTTGAAACAGTTATTTCTTTTGACTGAATGTTTGTTGTCTTCCTTTTCTAGGATTTTCACTGGCTGACTCGCTCTAAAATGTAAATAAAGATGCCAGTGGGTGGTCTTGAGTTTTCTCTTTCCTGCAAGATGAAATTTTATTTTATGCAGCAAAATTACTGTAATGTTAAAATTATACAAGAAAAATAAACATTTTTGAATGACATTTTATAGTAAAGGAATTGATTAAAAACAAAAAAAGTTACCAGTATTCTACTACAGAAATAACCGTTCACAGATGAAAGAAGAGAGTTTTATTAAATATTTAATAATAGCATTGCAACTGCCTAACCACTGAGTTACACATCAGTATACTTTTATGTAAATTCATTCTTAAAGTTACTGCTATAGTTTGAATATTTGTCCTCCAAAACCTCATGTTGAAATTTGATCCCCAGTTTTAGAGATGGGGCCTAATGGAAGTTGTTTGGGTCATGAGGGTGGATCCCTCATGAATGGCTCAGTGCTGTTCTTGTGGTAATGAGTGAATTCTTACTCAATTAGTTTCCATGAGAGCTGCTTGTTAAAAAGAGCCTGGCACCTCTCCATTCCCTCTCTTGCATCTTCTCATACCATGTGATCTTTGCACACACCAGCTCCCCTTCACCTTTTGCCCTGAGTGGAAGCAACCTGAGCCCCTCACCAGATGCCCAGTCTGGAACCTTCCAGCCAGCAGAACCATGAGCTAAATAAACCTCTTTTCTTTATAAATTACCCAGCCTTAGGTATTCCCTTATAGCAACACTGAACAGACTAAGACAGTTGCCTGTCTTAGTAAAAACATCTTCCAAAGGAAAAGCTGTAAGAATTGTCTAATGTAGAGACATGTTCAGGAAGTTGGGGTACATAGGCTCTTTCTAGTTCATATTTTATCTTTTGACCACTTCATACCTTAGTCTCCTCAGCATTTAGTGGGGCTTGTCCTACACTTGATGAGTCTTTTTTTTTTCCTGGAAAGAACTTACTGAGCCAAAGAAGTCACACCACATCCAAACTAATAATTACAGGGTATATTTGGATTAATAGCCTTAGTTTATGCATATCACATTGAGACCAAAAGAGTTAGCCGTACTATCTAAAGAACTCTTATAACTAAGAAAAATATTAATGTACCAGTAGAAAAGTAGGCACAGGGCATGCATGTATAACTCACAGAAAAAATACAAATGGCTAACAAAAGTATGAGTATATCCCAATGCTTTGGGAGGCCAAGGCAGGAGGATTGTTTGGGGCCATAAGTTTGAGACCTGCCTAGGCAACATAGCAAGACCCCATATCTACAAAAAATTAAAAAAATCAGAAGTAAATAAA